TTCTGTCTTAACCATCAAGCATCTTTGAAATTGACTTCAGGCAGAATGATGATGAAGGAATGATGGCTAGGTGTCTCGGATCTGCTTATCTTTTCCTCAGCACTTCAGATCTGACCCTGATCCTGAGTTGTGAATTATGGGAATAAAAAATGGAGATGGGCTTACCCAGGATGAATGGTAGTCCTATTGCCTGAGAACCAAATGTCTAATTTGTGTTCTCTTCCTCCTTGCAGAAGAAAATGTCATGAGATAAACAGAGCGGGGAGGGTAAAGAATTACATACAGACCTAGACTTCTCTGCTAGTTTGAAGAGAACAGATGGAAAACTTCTTTTCTTTCTTACAGCAAATGATTATGCTTGATAATACACCAAATTGGTATGGCTTTTAGAATTTTAAGTGATGTTGGCAATTCTTGCAATGTCTCTGCTGAGGTAAAACATGTCCATGGTATAATCCCATTGATTAAGGCCAGTAAGACTTAAGTCCAAGGATGAATGGATTTGGGTCTTTTGAATCCTTTCACTTCTGTTAACTCCCATAGGCGAAACAGATGAAAAAATTTAACTTGTTCTATTAAGTGAAGGATGAAAGAGTCTATCAGTGCTTTGAAGATCCCTGTTGCACACATAAAGCTATGTGTGGGGAGCCGCAGTAGAATAAAGGTGAATTTTTGAGGACATTTGCCTCTAAAATTGTTTATCACAGTCTGTTGGGAGCAGGAGGGTTAGTCTGATGGGGTCAGGAAGATTCATAGTTAAGCTGGGTGCTCAAATTTGAACGCTGTAATAGCCACTCAAGTACATACTTGTTAAATTGCAGGTCATTTGGCGAGCATAAGCTCATATTACAACTTGTTCTATCAGTTAATAGAATTTTCTGATGTTGTCCACTTAAAGGATCTTTATATTTGCACTGATATAGCCAAATTAACGAGTCTTCAAAACTATGAAGGAAATAAAACCAATTGGATTATTTGAATAAATTAGACTTTCGTATGTGCCTAGCATCAAGCCAATCTTCTATAGTATAAATGAACATCTTACACAAATATTCAAGCTGCCATTGTCTGACTCATGGGAACCCGAGTGAGGGCCATGGTGGTGGTGGCGGGGTGCATGTGCATTTGAAATTTGTCTCCTCCTCTTCAGATGGTTTCTCTCATTTTCTGAAGTAGCTACATTAAACGAAGCTATGCCAACCCAGGGGCTCTTGACCTCAATGAGGAACTCAAAGAATGCTTTATTTTTTTCTCTAAAAATGTTCAGTGTCTTCAGTGTTTATTTGACCTGGAGCAGTCTGAAGCCTAACAGATGAACTCTGACATTTTATAGATGCTCAAGTTAACACTGAGCTTGATGTGCCGCTCCTCCCCCACCCTTAAAAACACCCAAACTATAGATGCCATTCACTGGAAATGTGAGTATTTAGAATGTCTTAGTCAATGAATTATGCAAGCATAAGTCAAGTAATTCTCAGCACCCCGTTTCCACCCCAAATTGTGTGTGCCAACTTTGTGAGTAGCGTAAGAATCCATTATAAAGACTTCTCATCATCTTTGAAATATTTCGATTGTGAACTATGAATATTAACATAAGACTTGCCTATTGATGGCAATGATCAGACATTATATTTCTTATCTGTAAGGCATTGTGTACCTTGGACATGTAATACCACAATCAGTGTTCTTTTATGTCCCCCAGGAACTTTTTTTCTTATTTTTTATTTTTATTAGTGAGACACCATGAGGTACAGTTGTAGACTTACAAATTTTTGTGCTTGGGTTTCAATTATACAATGATCAAATACCCATCCCTCCACCAGTGCCCATTTCTCACCACCACAGATCCTAGTATCCCTCCCCCCCAACCCCCCCCCCCCACCTTGTCTCTGTGGCAGGGCATACCCTTTTGTTCTCTCTCTCCCCAGGAACTTTTTATACCTCTTGACAAGAATGCTAGGAATCTAGTCTGGGAGGTAGACCAGGTGACTATCCCTTCTCATCAAGAAACCCTTCAACTTTAAATTCTAGAAAAGAGCTGCCTGTATCTTGACACTTAGTTGAGAGGCACTTCCATACAAGAAAACTTGTCCCTGAAGCATTATAAATCATACTTGGAGTACAACAAAAATTTTAAAAAAACACATTGGATGGGGCTGGAGAGATAGTACAGCAGTTAAAGTGCTTGGCTTGCAGGTGGCTGACCTGGGTTCAATATCCGTCACCCCATATGGTTCTCTGAGCCCACCAGGAGTAAGCCCTGAGCCCAGTCAGGGGTGGCTCAAAAAACAAACAAAAATTCATTGAAAGACATTTTCCTCTAATTAAAACATTAAAACACGCTGAATGTCTCATACACGGCAGAGTCTGGCAAGCGCCCCATGGCATACCCAATATGCCAAATACCAGTAACAATGATGGGTCTCATTCTCCTAAAGAGCCTTGAATATAATCTCAGGGCTAGGATGAAGGAGACGTTACTGAGGCCTGCTCGAGGCAATCGACAATTAACAGGATGATTTGTGATTTTGTGATTTGTGAATGTCTCATATTCAACACAGAACCAGACCTGGCAAAGGATTGCTAGTGACAGGGGAAATGAGAGAGATGATTCATTGGGAAGAGGAGTGTTTCTCCAGTTTTCAATACTTCAGAGTCACAAGATGGCTGGGCCCTACCTCCAAGGTTTCTGATTCAGTACATTTCTGATAGGACCTAAAACTGTGCATTTCCTCCGCCTATCCCTGATGTCCTACTATCCTGGGACCACATTTGAGAAACACTGAGAATTTGGGGCAAGGATCCAAGGCTGCCTCAGGTAGCTATTTGAATAATACTTCTCACTTGGTTCCCCTTATGCTTTGTGTACTCTTTCGCTTTATTCCAGGGTTAGAACTTTGGCCCAAAAGCCAGGCAGACTGTCCACTTGATATGGGGATAAAAGGTTGGCCCATTTGTCTCCTCTTTTAAAGGACTTTCTCTCCCTCTCCTTTCCCCCATCCCCCTCAAGTAAGTCCCAGAAATTTGGTAGAATGAAAGTCCCAGTGTTGGTAGGATGAAGAGTCAAGTAAGTCAAAAAGTCAAGTAAGTCCCAGTATTGGTAGAATGAAAAACTAAAGAAACAGGAAAGTAAAATTACTCTCTGCCTGAACTCAAGAATAACTAGCCTCCCTCAAAATAAATCTGTGCACACAGTTTGAGAAGCTTGAATTCAAAGGACTAGGGATTTTAGTCCCAAGTCTCAAGACGTGATACCATATACATTAGGGGCTCTCATGGATGTCAGAAAAATCACATACATTTCCTCCAAAAGGCTTCAGCATATTAAGTCCAAGTCTTAAACTATTTGGGTCCAATGAGAGATGAATAGACAGAGAAGCTGTGGTCTCTATAAATATATATGCACAGGAGTACTATGCAGACATGAAAATGGTCGAAATCATTCAGTTAGTCCGCAACTGGGATGGAATTGCATGTTAACATAAATCGGAGGGAGAAGGGCAAATGCTGGATGATCTCGCTCATCTATGGAATAGAGAGAGACAAAACAAGGAAATAGTATTGAATGATGACAAACCTTTGGTCTTGGATTACAAAACTGATTACCAAACAGTGAGGGAGGAGAATGAGAGGAATGAAGACGTGAACTAGAGGTGATGTAGAGGCAGTGGTGGAGGATCTTGAGCACTTTGGAGTGCAGTAACTTAATATATCGATACCATAAATTTTAACACTAGTGTCACCATCTTGGCTTGACTATAATTTGAAGAAGAAACTATTTGGAATGAATTGCCAACTTCTTATTTGCCCACCCAGCACGAGAAGAGAATGGTTCAGAGTACCATCGCGTGTTGATAAGCTTACTGAAGTTCTTCTGGCTTTGAAGGAGGTTTCATATTTTCTTTTCTGCTGCATGTTCACTTGGAGGCAGTTTCTTTTTTGATGTGGTTCTTATATTTTGCTCTGGTATTTATTATATTTCCTGCTTATAAACTTGATATCATGAGGTGTTTATTTTTATTCCAGACAAGAGATTCTTTAGGAGTGATTAATGCTACAGATATACTCTCAGCTCATCACTGAACTTCCTGAACAAAGCTTCAGAGAAACTAATTTTTCCATTTGTACTTAAGAGATTAATATCTTTAGCACTTGGGCAGTTAGGGATGTGGTAGCCAAATAGTAAATCTGAAAGAATCAAGGATTATTTTTAAAAATTTTCCATACTGTCTTAAAAACTATGCTGGATTCGAATTTTTAATGCATATTTTCTCTCTCAAGCCCTGCTCCTTTTCTCCTACCCACTTCACCCCACTTTCATGTACTGGAAAGAACCTCATGATATTATTGTGTGTGTGAATCATTGAGAAACCTGAGGTCAACATAGATACCACTATTTGGACTAATGTTACAGGAAAACCTGAGAACTTTCTTTCAGAAAATGCATGTGCTTCCTTTTGGAGGTGTTTCATTATGTTTCTTGGCCTTGGGGCATTTCCCAGGCACTTTTCCTTGCATTTTACGCAGATGTGAGGAGGAGAAAAGGGGGGGAAATGTGTCCAAGGAAAACAACACCTTTTGGAACACCTGTCTTGGTTTCAGGTTTCAGTTGAGAGGCATTATTAACTTTGGTTTAGATTCTTGCAATAAAAAAATTCTGGGAAGCCTTATATTGTAAACTTCATGTACCCATTTAATCTCGTTCTTTACTTAACGTGTGTGCGTGTGTGATAGACGGGGGGAGAGAGAGAGAAAGAGTTAAAATCTTGCTTCTAATTCCTTACAGACATAGACATAGATGTAAATGAAATGACCTATGGTTGACACAGTTTACCTTCACTTACAAACGATCAGAGATGCTAGCTTCCCCAGAAACAATCTGCCCTGTATACAGCATGTTTTCCCACTAAATTTCATGATTTTTTTTCCATTTTAAAATCTATCTGAAAAGCACCACTATTTAATTATGAAAACCCGTTTTGTTTGTTTTTTTTTTTTAGAATTCTTCAAAGAGCTCCTTGAAAATGCAGAGAAATCCCTGAATGACATGTTTGTGAAGACATATGGCCGCTTATACATGCAAAATTCGGAGCTATTTAAAGATCTCTTCGATGAGTTGAAGCGCTACTATGTGGCAGGAAATGTAAACCTGGAAGAAATGCTAAATGACTTCTGGGCGCGCCTTCTGGAGCGGATGTTCCGCCTAGTGAACTCCCAGTACCATTTTACAGATGAGTATCTGGAATGCGTGAGCAAGTACACTGAGCAGCTGAAGCCCTTTGGAGATGTCCCACGCAAGCTGAAGTTGCAGGTTACCCGCGCCTTTGTAGCGGCTCGCACTTTTGCTCAAGGCTTGGCAGTCGCCAGAGATGTAGTGGGCAAAGTCTCTGTGGTAAGTGCTCTTTGCATTCCACTTTGGTTTTATTTTGCTTATGTCTTTTACTGGTGCCAGAGATTGAACACTGGACCTCACACACGCGAGACATGCACTCTGCTACCAGTCACATTGATGGTCCCGTTTTGTGATCTTTCAAATGGAAGTGGTTTGTGGGAGAGAGTACATGGCTTACAGTGCTTGATTTGCGTGTAGCTGATCCTGGTTCCAATTCCTGACACCACATATAGTCCCCTGAGTACTGTCAGATTATTCCTGAGCACAGAATCAGGCATAACCCCTGGGTACTGCTGGGATAAACTCCCCAAATCCCCCAGTCCCCCCAAAGTGGGGAGTGATAGAAAAATCAGAATTCCATTGGCTTCAGGGGTGATAGCACAGTGGATAGGATCTTGGCTTTGACACTGGCACTGCACGTGGTACCCCCAGCACTGCCAGGACTGATTCCTGACTGCAGAGCCAGGAGTAGCCCCTGTGCATCACTTTGTGTGGCCTTAAAACAAACAAACAAAAAAAACCCAACAGATTTCCATTGGCTTCGTAATAATCTCTTCTCTCTGTTCCACACTTTGCCTTTTTTATTTTTGCTTTTTTGGGTCACACCTAGCGATGAACAGGGATTACTCCTGGCTCTGCACTCAGGAATTACTCCTAGAGGTGCTCCGGGGACCATATGGGATGCTGGGAATTGAATCTGGGTCGGCTGTGTACAAGGCAAACACCCTACCTGCTGTGCCATCGCTCCAGCCCCAAGATCAGTAGTTTTTAAAGTATGTTCTTTGGAAACAGCTCAAACTGGGATGTCTCGGGTCATCACCATCTTCTGTGGGAAGGTAACTTTTCTGCTCAGTGAAACTCTAGGCAATTGAGCCCTTCAACCTTTTTTTTTTTGCATCAAAAAAGCTTCTCTTTGTTTCATTGTTACACATGTTGCACAGTAGACTTTGCAGCAAGATATCAAGAGGGAAGGGGAAAGGTCCTGTGTCTCACAGACATAAACAATTATATTTGAATGTACTACTGCTATCCATGATTCATTACCAGTGAAGAAACAGAATGTATTGAGCCAACATTCTCTTTGTAAGACTTAACTTAGGTTCACAAAGAAAGCAGACTTTGAGCCCATTGCTAAGACTTCTGGATGTATAGCTTTTACATAGGTTATTTTAAGACCCACTGGAGTGGCCATACTGGATAGCCAGGGGTTGGAGAGATAGTCCAGAGGTAAAGTACTTGCCTTGCATGCGGCTGACTTAGGTTCAAGCCGAGGCACCCTCTAGGGCCCTTTGATCACACCAGGTGTGATCCCTGAGCACAGAGCCAGGAGTAAGCCCTGAGTACCACCAGATGTGGCCTAAAAATCGGGAAAAAAAAACGAAAGGAAACAAAACAAAACTGGATGACCAAAGACACATCAATCTTAACATGAATTAGAAAGATCCCTGGAATTGAATATGGTCCCCTAGTCACAACCAGGAATGATGGATCACTGAGCACAGAGCCAGGAGTACGCCCTTAACTGTCAGATGTGACTCCCCCTCCAAATAAAAACCCCAAAAAGCAACCTAACTGTTTATCAGATAGTTTATTTAGAGTTAGTGTGGCTATATACTTCATTGTGCAATTTGAGATGCTTATTGTCAAAATACTATATACCACACCTGGGCAATATGTACCACTAATGTGTTCTCTTTGTTTTTATTTGTGGGACCATACTCAGCTGTGCTCAGGGCTTACTCCTGGCTCTGTGCTCGGCGGGTCTCTTGCAACACTGAGAATCAAACTAGGGTCAGTTTTGTGCAAGGCAAATGCCTAAGCCCCTGTACTACCTCTTTGGATCCTTAATTTAATTTATTTTATTTTATTATTTGTGGGAACGATAGCACAGCAGGTAGGGCATTTGCCTTGCACACGGCCGACCTGGTTGACCCAAGTTCAATTTCTCCACCCCTCTTGGAGAGCCCGGCAAGCTACCGAGAGTATCTCGCCCGCACGGCAAAGCCTGGTAAGCTATCCATGACATATTCGATATGCCAAACACAGTAACAACAAGTCGCACGATGGAGACGTTACTGGGCCCGCTCGAGCAAATCGAAGAAAAATGGGAGGACATATTATTTGTGGGGTACACCTGGCAGTACTTGGGGGTATATTCAAGTTGATCCCTGGGACAGTTTCTTCCAGGCATGCTGGGGGACCATGCAGTGCTAAGGATTGAACACAGGACTCTAAAATACTCTCCAGCCCTCGAACCATCTCTTTGGTTCCCACTAATTTTTAACAAGCAACCAGAACTTCTCTGGAAAACCACAGTGCTGGTATTTTCATCAGAATGTGTGTGTGTGTTTATATGTGTGTGTGTGTATGTATATATGTGTGTATATATATATGTCAGTCACTGTCACTGTCCTCCCATTGTTCATCAGTTTGCTTGAGCGGGCCCACTAACATCTCCATTGTGACACTTGTTACTGTGTTTGGCATATTGAATACATCACGGGTACCTTGCCAGAGTTTGCTCTGCGGGTGAGATACTCTCAGTAGCTTGCCAGGCTCTCCTAGAGGGACAGAAAAATCAAACCTGGGTTGGCCTGGTCGGCCACCTGCAAGGTAAATGCCTTACCGGCTATCACGGTCCTCCCATTGTTCATCGATTTGCTCGAGCGGGCCCAGTAACATTATGAAACTTGTTACTGTGTTTGGCATACAGGATACACCACGGGGAGCTTGCCAGGCTTTGCCGTGTGGGCGAGATACTCTCGGTAGCTTGCTGGGCTCTCTGAGAGGGGCGGAGGAATCGAACCCGGGTCAGCTGGGTTGGCCACGTGCAAGGCAAAAGCCCTACCGGCTGTGCTATCGCTCCAGCCCACCTGCTATATATATATATATATATATATATATATATATATATATATATATATGATTGTGGGGCCAGAGAGGGTATCAGATGGTTCTTGCCTTGTACATGACTGACCTGGGTTTGTCCCCCATACCACATACGGTCCCCCTGAGTCTTGCCAGGAGTGATCCCTGAACACAGAGCCAGTATGCTTGAGCACAGATGGTGTGGCCCAAAATATAAAAAAAGAAGAAAATTTGTGTTAGACAAATCACTTCTTATAGGATATTTTGTTGAAATTGACTCTCAGAATTTGTTGATTAGTCACTTTCATTATTTCACTTTTGTACTCCATATCTCTGGGCCATAAGTTGTCCGGGAACAATTTTTCCAGCATGTTTTTGTTTACTCCTTCTCCTGGTATTTTCATTGTAAATTGCAAAAATTTGTTGGGACATGTGAGAGAGGGATGGGAGTTAGTAGGGGAGAGCTGATGGTTATAATTAAAGGAATAATCTGGTTCCTGAACTTCTGCCAACCTCAACAACCATTAATAATGTTGGAGATGCTCATTCAGAGTCACTTAACAATGCACAGTTAATCCAGATCAAAGTTATTTACATTGTAGTTCACCTAACACATTTTCCTCCCTTTGCAAGACCTCACGTTTATCCTTAGCTGAACAGTCTGGAAAGTTCTGCCCTGTGTTTTTTCTGTGTGTGTGTGTGTATGTGTGTGTGTGTGTGTGTGTATTGGCGGGTCTCTAGGAAAGTCCTAAGTAGAAAACCCTTTGCAAGTGTTTGAAAAGTGCTCTCTCTCTTATTCATAGATCCTTAAGTTTCTCTTTTTTGGAGTAGATTCTTTTTGAAAAAATTATTGAAGTTCTTTGATATACAATACTGTTAATGACGATTTCTCATACACGTAATTCCAACCTATTCCCAGTATACCCACCTCCCTCCCCCAAGGACTCCAATACCCCTCCCTCTCAGGCCCCACCCACCAACTCAGTTGGATCAGTTCTTCCTTTGTGTTGCTTTTGGCCCTTTGTTGCTACCTTGTTGTGTATATTGTTTTTGGTTTTGGTTTTTAAGCACACTCGGCTGTGCTCTAGGATTACTATTGTTCTGTGCTTAGGGATCACTCCTGCTGGGCTCATGAGATCATATGCGGTGCCAGACATCAAACCAGGGTCAGACGCATGCAAAGCAAACAACCTACCGACTATATTCTCTCCAGTCCCCTAGTTGTGTATTTTTAAGTTCCGCATACACAAGATAAGTCCCTGTAGAAAGCAAGATGGAGGTCTAGTTAAAAAATAGGAACAGAACTCCTCTATAACCCAGAAATACTACTTCTTGGTATTTCTTCTCCTAAACACAGAACCATTCATTCGAAAGAATATATGCACATCTATGTTCATTGCTGTGCTTTAGTACAATAGCCAAGATATGAAAACAACCCAAATGCCCAACTTTGGATAAATGGATCAAGAAGTTTTGTATAATACACAATGGAATATTATGAAGGTCTAAAAAAGAAGAAAATCATGCAATTTGCTGCAATATGGATGGAACAAGAATATATCATGTTGAGTGAAGTCAGAAAGAAAGGGATAGACACGAAATGGTTTCTTTGAGGGGTATGGAGCATTAGACCATCCTAGTTACACTCAGTGATACTCCTGGCTCTGTGCTCAGGAGTATACCTTGAAGTGCACAGTGGACTATATGTGGTACTAGGGATCGAACGAGCATGACATTGGCAGCATTGCCCAGACAAGTTCCTTAACTGCTGTATTACCTCTCCAGGCACTGGAAACTGGTTTCTGTACATTAACTACCCTACCCCTTCTTTCTTGAGAAGGACCAGTCATCTGATACAGACCCGACTTTTGGTTAGTCTACCATGGCAGCATTATAGAGATCTCTTAGGGAACTGAGATCTCAGTATACCCTAAGCTTGGGTAAAGGCAACTGAGTGAAAGCTGTTTAGAGATAGTGTGTTGTAGGTTAGGAGCTTATGGGTTAAGATGACTGGTCTTCTGTCCACCTACTACAAGTCTTGTGGTAGTGATTTCCTTCTATCTCTTCTTCTTGAGGGGATTCTTTACATTAACGATGAGAAATCAGTAAGATGGACTCTTGCAGTTAAGATA